ATGGTTTTATGTAAGCTGTTTGCTAGGTTGTCTGTACAATCATTCTTAGTGGTAAAACACACTAAAAGTCCTCTTGTAAAGCTTCATACAAATGACTTCCAGGTGATGCTGTTGTTACTGAGCTGTGCAGCAAAAGATTTTCAAAACTCTCTCAATTAAAAACAACCAACCAACCAAACAAAACAACCCAAACTGGTTGCTGTTTTACAGATATTCAGATTTTAAATCCTTTGTTATTACCAAAATGTATTTTGTACACCTGGAATTTTTAATCTTGTGAAACTATGCTTAAAATGGTCACAAATTGAGCAAAGCAACCTATTTTGCTACACTTCGTATATATAATAAATTCTCTCCTAAACTAGGGTTTAGAAAGGAAGAGAAGAGGCTCCAGGAAACTTTACAAAAAGGGGGCTTAAATGTTTGAGGGTTAAGGCTAAGTACAGACAGTCTAAAAGTCCTGTTTAGAATTAATACAGTCGCTGCAGGTTAGTTTAAATGGTGTAGGTTGAACCAAGAAGCAAGTGAACAGACATTCACTTTTTATCTGGGAATGCAGCCACATGCCTGCAGTGGCTACAGCTAGAAGCTGGGGGTGCCAGAGCATGCCTTTCACAGATTCACAGAAGTCTAGGGCTGGAAGGGACCTCCTGAGATCATTGGGTCCAGCACCCCTGCTCTGAGCAGGAAAGGCTGCTGTGATCAAATAGCCCCTGCAATGTGTGTCCAGTGTGGAAGGATGGAGGGAAGCTGGGAGAGAAGCTACCCCCCACCCCCCACAAAGCTTTCCCCCCCTTTCCCTGCTCGTGCTGGGGAGGGGGGGTGTGGCCAGGCCCCAGCAGGCCTGCTTAGTATGAATTAAACCCCCACCATGGCCTGCATGGACCCCAGCTAGGGTATCCCTTGCAGGGGAGGAGGAGAGGCAGCTCCTGCCAAGCTTTTCTCCTGTTCCCTGCTGGATGGGGCAGGGGAAGGGAGGTGTGTCCAGACCCCAGCCCAAGCCAGCATGCTGAGGGGTGTTTAAACCCCTTCCCCCACCCACATGGGACTTCAGCCGGGGTTTGCTTGGCAGGGGCCTAGCAGCCCCAGCCTGGCTTTGCTCCACTTGCCATTCCAGTGGCCAGCACACTGAGGCATAGGGAAGGGAGGGGGATTTAAGCCCCTTCCCCTGCCTGCCTGCTGAGGCAGATGGGAAGGAGAGAGGCTTAAACCACCTCTCTTCCCTCCACCTCCATGTGCTAGCCCAGGGCCTGTCTGGCCATGCTTGAGTGGTGAGTAGGGAAAAGTCTGGCAGGGGCTGCTGTGCCCCTGCCAGGCAGACCCTGGCTAATAGAGGGGCAGAGGGGGTTTAAACCCTCTCTGTCCCCTCTGCCTCAGTGTGCTGGCCTGAGGCTGTGGTCTGGCCATGCCCTCACCCCCTCCACTCATGACAAGCAGGGAAAAGCCTGGCAGGGGCTACAGTGTCCCTGCCAGGCAGACCCCTTCTGGGGCTTAAAAGCCCCTTTTTTCCCCCACCTGCCTCATTCTGCCAGCTTGGCCCCAGGGTCTGTCTGGCAACCCCCCTTGCTCTGCTCCAGTGGCCAGTGTGGGGGAAAGCCTGGCAGGGGCTGCTCCACCCCTGGCAGGCAGACTTGGCTGCAGTCTTGAGCCAGGTTTTCCGCCCCCCCCTCCTTAGCCATCCAGACCAATGATAGTGTTCCAGCTAGGGACCAGAGGGGTGGGGCCAACCCTGTTCCTTAGAGCAGACAGCCCAGCCCAACCCAGGGCTGCAGAGCATCCTGGGATGCTGAGGGACTTCGATTTAACTTGGACCAGGAAGGGTTCTGGGACAGAAGTTCCATAAACTAGTTTGACCTAAATTATAGTTTCATAGTTTCTAGGGTCGGAAGGGACCTGAGCAGATCATCTAGTCTGACCCCCTGCCGTGGGAGGAAAGAGTACTGGGGTCAAATGACGCCAGCAAGGTGTTCATCTAACCTCCTCTTAAAACCCCCCAGGGTAGGAGCCTGCACCACCTCTCTTGGAAGTTGGTTCCAGACCCTAGCTGCCCTGACAGTGAAGTAGCGCCTCCTGATGTCTAACCTAAACCTACCCTCTGCCAGCTTGTGACCGTTATTCCTGGTCGCTCCTGGCGGTGCTCGGGGGAACAGTGACTCCCCCAATGCCTGCTGATCCCCCCTGACTAATTTATAACAGGCACCACCAAAACATGGCTCACCAAAAGCATCCGGGAATGTCTCCTTGCTAAAAAGGAGGCTTACATCCAATGGAAAGAAGGGGTCATCACCAGGAAGGGCTATTCTGTAGTTGCTCAGGGATGTAGGGGGGTAGTTAGGAAGGCCAAGGCAGAGATGGAACTGGGACTAGCAGTTAAACCTGGTTGAATGTAGCATCAGACTTACCTTAAACCGGTTTCAATCATTTTGAAAGCTATTTTATGTGCACTGAACTTCTCTTATGTTACAGGTTTAAATTGATTTCTGATCACTTAAGCTGGTTTATGTGTAACTTCTGTCCCTAGCCTTGATGAATATCAGGTGTGTAGTTTTTAATAGAAGTATTAAAGCTGTAAAACCAGGTTCTTGTGTGGGGAAACATTAGAATTACTTGATGCCTGACCTGCACAGCAGCCATTATAAAGACTTGCTGGTGGTATTTTTTGCTACTTTATTCCTTTTCACTGAAAAGGAATATTTTTTGTGAGGTTACATTGACCATGCACATCTTAATTGAAGATGGTTGAAAGCTGAAATGAATGACAGAATATTCTGTAGAGTTTTATAAATGTGTAATTGTTGAAACGCCTGCTGTTTATTTTATTAGATGCTGTTTTTTTGTTTGAGTTTTCTTCAGAGCATATTTCTTCTTGAGTTAATGTATGTGGAGTTGAATTCTTAGTCCATAATGTTCTTGGCTGTTTATTTCCAATACAGTTTTTGAAGCACTATTTGCCGAACAAAATGGATACATGAAGATACTTGATGAATCCTGAGATTTACTAACTTTCCACATATGGGAGTTAGTTAATACACAGGTACTCAGTATGCACATGTAACTTTAAAATGTTGACTTAGTGTTTCTCTGTTGATGTAGATATGGTGTTGGACAACATGATTGCCTCTGGTCAGTTGGATGAATCCAGAAGAGAGAATGTCAGAGAAGCTCTTCTCAAGAGACACCATCACCAGAATGAGAAAAAGTTCAGCAGTAGGATACCTCTGGTTCGGTCCTTTGCGGATATAGGCAAGAAACATTCTGACCCTCACTTGCTTGACCGAAATGGTGAGATAAGTTGCGGCATCCGATTTATCCTAACCTGTTAGAAATAATATGTTCTCCCTGAGACATGAAGGAAAAGTCAGCAGATGTAGTTGGTTCCTTCTTGGTATGTAACAGCTGTTTGTGTTTTTTGTGTAGCTTGGGCATTTATCTGTAATTTGTGTGAAGAAGTTTTTCTTTTTCTGCTTGTGACAACTGCACTCCTTTGCTTCTATTCACAGCATGATTTAAGAAGTATATACACACACTATTTGCTTTATCCATGGCAATACATTCAGTAGATTCTAACACTTTAAAGGGTATGTTTGACTTCTGTCTGTCTTGTCGACAGATTTAAAGTACTCTTCTTACCTTTTAACCATAACTTCACAGTCATCACCAGGGTTATAGTTTCTGATTCGGTCTCCTTTTATTTCTTTGAGAGACTTGTTTCATCATCCTGTCAACATTATATTTAGGCTGTCTTCTTAATAGCCTTATCTTACCTGCTTTTTGGACAACTATATGCAAAGGAAAAATTTAAGTTCACTGTTGTACGCATTTTGTTTTGTTTTTGTTGTTTTAATGGAAAATGATTAAACTGCTTTTAACTGAGCTTTTCAAAAATTTTACTATGCTAACTGTAGTAAAAGCCAGGTAAAAAAAACAAAACACCAAACAAAACCCCCCAGAAATCTGTAACAATTTTACAGGATGTATCATGTTGTATGATAACTAAATATTGACATACCTGTTCATTTGCTTCCTGGTGTTTAGTTCCTAAGTTCATGTAGATACTGGTATTGCAGGGCAGCCTCCTTTTTAGGTCTCATTTTGCATAGATTCATAAATGTTAGGGGCTGGAAGGAACCTCACAAGATCATCGGGTCCAGCCCCAGTGTGCTAGGGCAGGAAAGACTGCTGGGGTCAGATGACCTCAGCAAGGTGCGTGTCAAGTTGCTTTTTAAAGATCTCCAGGGTAGGTGACTACGACCTCTGGGGGGAGTCTGTTCGAGAGCCTCGGCACTCAAATTGTAAAAAAACTTATCCTCATGTCCAATCTGAAGTGATCTTCAAGCAGTTTGTGTCCATTGTTTGTCTTCCCCTGGGGTGCCTTGGTAAACAGATGCTCTCCCAGGCCTCTGGAGTATTTCTTATACCTTTCAAGCTATAATTATGCAAGAGATCTTGGATGTCTTGGACTTGAATTAATTTTGGCTTAGTAAGGCCACACACTGAAGTATTGGCCCATTTTAGATTCTGATTCCTTTTAAATGAGGTGTTTTGGTTTTAGACCACTCTGCATGCAAGGATGCATCTTCTGCCTCGGAGCATGCAAGTGTTTGGTTAGTTTAAGTTTGAGTTTAATGTTTGAGTTTGTTTTGGGTGTTAGAGAACTTCCAACCACTTTTCCAACTAGAAAAATTGGGAAGTGTCTGATGACATCATCTTTGTCAGTTTGGTTGTTTTAGGAAGTAAATGCAATTAAACTTGTCTGTATTTTCATTAAAACTGATGACTGATTCTTTGGACAGTATGCATAGAATCTTGATAGCAAACTTCAGATTTCTATGTAAAAGCACCAAGATGACCAAATCCAATGTTTAGATCCCTTAAAAGTATATCAGATTTTCAAAATCATTACAAGTCTTTTCCATGTCTTGTTTTCATAGGATAAAATACTGTTTGTTTTTGTTTTTTTGGTCTTTTAATTTTTAGCAATGGGAATACCAGTAGACTGTATAGAAGAGTGCTCTCAGCCTAGATGTAGCCAATTCCACAGATCTTTGCTTTGTACCACTCTCCTCTCCTGGTAGTAAAATAAAAGTGTAGTTTTGGAGTATACTGCATCTCCACTTAAGAGCTTCTGTTGATTCAGTTGTGTGGAACAGGGGTCAAATCTTGTCACATTCCTGACAGGCACATTATGATAATAGTGGGTACTTCTACATGCGCAATTAATGCAATGCAACAAACTCTGGAGCAGTTCAAGCCAGAGTTGACTGCTCCTGGGTGCAGCATCTACATATGTGCTTGGGACAGCAGCAATTTAAGCTGGGGCAGAGCAGGCCTCCAGCTGGTGGGGCAGAGCAGGCCTCCAGCTGGTTGGGCTGACCAGGTGGAATATATGCCCGCAGTCAGCAGCTATACATGTTTTTTGGCACAGTAAAGTACTCTGCTGTAAGATAGTACTGTCCCTGGGAGTACTATACTACAGCAGAGTTAGTTGTTTGATTGCACCCTGATATCACCACATGTGTAGACTGTGACACTTTACTGCAGAGTAGACTAATTAGCTCTGCAGTAAAGTGCATAGTAAAGTGGGTAGATGCACCCAGTCTGTAGTGTTAGAACAGAAAATGGTACTTTATTGCTCCTTACTACTAAAGACGTAGTTCAATAGAGGCTATTTTGGTTTTTTTTGTTTTTTTTTTAATGTTAGCCTTGAAATTTATTTTAAATGTGTGTCTTGTCTTCACTGTGTTTTTCTTTATACTTGTATTCCTTTCTCTTTCCCTTCTTCCCTCAGTGTAGGATCATTCAATATGTTGGTCTTTTTTACGCAGCCTGTTCTACACTTAATACCAAGTGTGTCTTTTTTCTTTACTTTTGTTTCCCTGCTTATAGTTGTAATGTGAGACCAGTGTATATTTGCTATCAGATCCCTACAGAAGGCAGTCAGTACTCTGCTGTGATATAGAATGCCAGTTTCAGGATAATTTTTTTTGAAAATGTTGTTTTGTTTTTTTTTAAAGCCTTTATTCCTAACTGTTCCCCTGCCCCCCATGGAAGTGATATAGGGTGAAAATGGAAAGCAAATGATATTCTTTCTTCTGTAGAGAAGAGCAAGTACACAATAGGACATCTGTGAGAGAAGGGTGACAAGAACTTTCACTCTTCAGATTTAAAATACAGTAGTTAGGAAGTAAGGTGTGGAATGGGGAGAGACTGGTTTGTGGGATAAAAGCAACAATCCGAAATTAAAGAAACCCGCTTAATCTGTGACTGAATTGGGATATAGTAAATGACAGTAGGAAGCATCCAAGGAGAAGGCTCTGGCCAGGGACAAGTGTTCATTTCTACCAGTAGAAATCTTTCCACGAGAGAGTATACAGATGTTTAACATGCAGCTCCTGCTTCTCTCCTGCTCTTCATACCTCCACCGGACTGAGACTCTTGTCTGGGGGGTGGGTTGGCAGACAGGTGGGGGCTGGGAAGTGGGGAAGCAGCTACTCCTATACTCTGTTCCCATCACTGGGAGCAGTGAGCAAACCTCTTGCCTGCTCCCCAGGGGCAAGGATGCTTCCCCTGTCCTTCAGGGCCCAGAAGCTGAGCAGAGTAAGCAGTGCAGCATCCTCACTGGGCTTTTTCCCTGCTGCTCCAGTGTCCTCCTGTACTGGTCCAGAGGGGACTGGAGTGCTCCTCGCCTTCTACCACAGCTGAGTAGCCCCCAGTCCAGGGTAGTGTGGGGAGCTTCCTGTTTCTTCACTCCCCTACTGGACCAGATTGGGAGGAGTATATACAAGCATTCACTTTTGCAAGAGAAACTTTTTTCTGGAAGGGGTACACTTCCCCTAGGAGAAATTGAATGAATTCTTGATACACTTGTTATTTCTACCAGGAGAATGGTGTTTCTCCCAGTAGATATGTACTCCCTTATGTGGCCTCTGCCATTGTCTTTGGGCCTTCTTCAATGGCAGTGTCATATGAAAATTTTATAAACTGGAGCTCATGCTGTTTTGGTGTAACAACAGGTTTTTACACAAAACTGCATCTGATTTGCATTCAAGTTACCATGGAAACATTTTTTCCCCCAAAGTTGAGAGAAATCATTTAGGACAGTATCAGGATTTTTTTAAAATATTATTCCAAGATAAGCTGGCAGTAGTGCATAATGTCATCATGATGTGTCATATTTTGACTTAATTGAGTTTGTTTTATTTTTAAAAATGTTAAGGACAGCTGCTGTTTGTTACAGCTTTGAAACATTTTCCTGGTTTTGTTGTCATAATCTCTTAATCTTTTCTGGATTAATTGTTTCAATCCGTGCATAGTAGTAGCTGCCAATTTTACTTACAAAAATGAAAATACAACTAAAATTTTTTGACTTACTGTCAGGATGTGTCACTATTGGACATGTTTTGGAACAGTTTCAGAGAGGTTATGCTGGAAGAAAACTTGTCAAAAATGGTTTTAAATTTTGGTTTCACAGGAAATTTGGATGTTTTTACTGGGAGCAAATATATTTTGAAATGAAACTCAATTTTAACATGGTTGAAACTCTCACAAAACAAATGAAGAACTGATAAGTTTTAATTGTGGCAACATCCTGTACTGCAGATAAAGTACTAGCAGGCTTGATGTTGCTGAAGTTGCACTTAGTGGTGCTTTATAGACAGCTAGTGTTAGCAAGTGCACGGGATATGAGGGCTTCCTTCTGGTTAGGTTTAATAGTTTGTTTGTTTTTTTAAGCTGGAAATCGGATACTCGTACTACACGCAGAAACAGGTTTTATTGAAATAGCAGAACTTGGTGTGGAGGACAATTAGTAAAAATGTTTCACTCTATCACTCTCATCAGTCGTATTTAGTTTGATCTGAATTATGCTAAATCTCTTAACTAATGTTCTTGGCATACCATACATCTTAAACTAAGAAGGGACTTTGATTTTTTTTCCCTTCCTTTAGATTGAGGGAAACTATTGTCTTGTGGGTTTTTTTTATTTGCTAAAATCTCAATGACTTCAAACATTCACTGAGGAATATTGTTCTCTCAGATCTTTCTTGTGTGCTAAGTGGCAGCTGTCAGTAAATTATGTGCTGACTTTTCTGATGCTTAAAATTTTGACTTACTCATGCATCTCTTATCTCGCCTGCATGAATGTGACACTTTGGGCCTTCAAAGCTTGCAATTTACAACGTAAATTGTTAATGCATTATTTGTCTTTCTCTTTTAGTATCTCCCTATTGTATACTTCATCATTTTGTTTTGTTTTTATCTCAGGGGAAGGCCTTTCAGCCTCCCGGCACTCTTTGCGAACAGGTCTCTCTGCCTCGAACATTTCCCTGAAAGGAGAAAATCGTTTGTCCCTCCTTCTCAATTACCTTCTTCCTTCTTCAAGAGCTGGAACCCCAGCAGCTTCAAGGTGTACAACCCCAATACCTACCCCTCAAAACACACCACCCTCCAGTCCTAGCTGCAGCCACCTGGCAACCACAAATTCCCAGCCAAGTGAGCTCCAATGTGAGGAACTGCTTGTGTCGCCTGCTAATGATGATATCCCCACAGTAATAATCCATCCACCTGAGGAAGACTTAGAAGTTCAGGAAACGAAGACAGAGGATAATATTGACATAACACCAGGCAACTATCCAAACTTAATCTGTCCATGTGTGATGCTCTCTGCATCTGAGTCACTTGCATTGCAGTATTATTTAGCACATGGCTTGAGCATAAATGATACATCTTTAACTTCTACCACTGTCTGCATGTTTTGTTTTACTTCCTAAGTGTGATCATGTTTCTTGTTTTGCTTTATAGACCTATGCAAATCATGCCAAACATAAATTCACAAATGTTGAAATTCACTTACTGACATTAACTCCTTTAGGCAATGAAACAGAACGATTTTTGTGTACATAACCTTCATTTGCGTGATTAAACAGGTACTTGTTTGACACGTGTTTTAAGTAATCCTTAAGTAGTTCTTACATAGATAAAATGTCAGAAATGGTGGCCTTTTTCCTTTCATTCACCTATAATGAATATTGAAGTCCTTAAACATTGTGCATACTTTAAAGAGGTGGCCAGTTCCCTGAGGAATTTACAGTCTAAATCAGTGGGGTCTGACTGTGTCTAAGGGGTCTGCAAAAGATGATTGATCAACCAAAAGTATGTTAATACCCACACAATTCAAAGGGATCCACACTTCCATTCAGCATTTTTCAGGGGTCTGCAGATGAAAAAAGTTTGAAACCCACTGGTCTAAATACCATGCGGTACAACGAGTAGCTTTGGGGTGGGGTGAGGGGAAAGCAAGTGGTAAGGAAGATAGACAAAGATTACAAATACGATGGTGCTGTAGTAATTTAGGCAATTGTTTGGTGTGCCTGGATTTTTAAATGCAAGTTTTACCCAGTAACTGACTTGTGCTGCTTCCTATAACTTCTAGTGAATTTTTTATTAATGTGTTATTTTAACTTTGGTGTTGCAACTTAGCTAATGGAAAGTTTGTAATGGTACCTACTGATTTGATTGAACTGGCACAGGCACACGTTGCAAAACTGTCTACTCATGTGCACATAATACTAAAGAATACAGAGGAATCTTCTGTGAAAGTATCTCAGGACATTTATGAAATGTTTGTTTTTTATAATTCAGACATTGATTCATAATATTGGAATTACTCTTATACCCCAGCAGCAAAATCAATCAGCCTGACTATTCTAGTAATTCTTCTGGATCATGCCCTGGTTGTGAATACCTCTACTTTCATTTTCTATTCAAAAATGTCTAAAAGCCTTTCTTGAAAGTACAAAAAGTCTTGATGTACAATTGACCTGTTGTGCTGGGACTTACCTGGTCAGCATATCCAAGTCGAATCATTGACCATTTAGGATTTTCTTGGATTTCTTTCTCCATTTGCCTAGCAAAGAAGAGCAAACTACTAAGATTTTTGTGTGTGTTGGGGGGGGGACAACACACTACCAGTTTATGTAGAGTAGCAACAAAAATCTGTTCAGGCATTTCTGAAGAGCAGTCACCAGTCTCATTGCTTAGGCTGACCTGAGGTTGAGAAGGCTTGATCCAGCCAACCGCACCAACCCCAGGCCAAGAATTCAAGTAAAGAAGAGTGAAGTTTCTAGCAGGCATTTAATGTTGAGGGTAATCAGCATATTTACTATCATGGCCATCTCTGCCTTTCCACCTTTTCAGCCTGTCATGAGTAGTGGGTGTATTAAGGTCCACAGAAAATCAAAACCTAAATCTATTCTGTAAGGTATCCTCTGAACAAGAATTTTTTGAGTAATGCCCTTATCTCTCTCTCCAGGGTGGACAGGAGGGAGCAGTCTTCCTCTGCCTCATTTACAGGAAAACATTTTTAATGGGTGAATTTATGTAGAGATCATTCTTACTGGTTTGAGGAAATCTGTGGTGGATGCTGTTCCAATTCCTATCTGTCTGTCTGTAAATATTAGGATGTTATCCTCTAATTTCCCCCGCCCCCCCGCAAGAAATCCAGTGTTTACATCAGTAGTGGTAGTTCTTGACATACCCTTAAACAGTTTCCAGACTGTCACCCTGGGCCACTACTGGGCTGATATCCTCTCTTTTAAGGTCTGCAGAACAAACTACAGAAGACCTATTCTCTATACTGGAATGCAACTAAGTGCTTGGCTGTGCAGATTTTCTGTGGGTGACATTAAAGACTGACTAGTTTTGCCTCTCTTCTTTTTGTAACAGCTTCCAGTGCCTAATTTTTGCTCTGTTCCCTGCTCTAGACATATTAGGAACTATCTAAAAAATTGTGAATTGGTATAAAAGGTAGACAGAGATCCTTGGTTGAGCTATAATTTGACATCAGCATCTAACAACCCAGCCAAAGGCTTTGCTTTTACAGATTCAAACTGGTAAAGTTTATTTTGATAAAAGTAGACTTCTAATGTGTGGCTCTTTGAGATGTTTATTTTAATTACTTCAAAAAAAAAAAAAAGAAATAGTTTAAGACCAGTATTTCCAGAATGTTTTTATTTTTGAAAACTGAATCCCTCCAGCAGAAGGGGCATGGTCAGCCAGAAAGAAATGCCAAGATCTTCAGTGTTGAGTCTGCTGCAAGCTATGCCATTGAATGAGAGAAGTATTCAGACTTAAGAATGTTTCTGTAAACAGAAATCTAGTTGACAGGTAAACATTTGTGTGTTTGATATCCTTGGCTATGCTTATGGCCTCCAGTGAGCCCAAGAGCACTGCTGAGAGATAAGTTCCTACCACTCTGTACGTCCCTGAGCCTGCACATTAGGCATAGTAAATGGCTCTGGTGTATGCCTGATGGCCCTGAGCTTTCCCTGCACAACTGTGCTTAGGCCATTGAGACTTGAAGAACCCAGTGGCATGTGCTTATGCCTAATTTGGAGACTTTGGCACTGTGTGGAATGGGCACCAGCGGGCTCATCTTTTGGCAGCACTCTTGGAGGACATGTGGGTATGTAACCCTTGTTTCTAAAGCTACAAAGGACCATGCATTGTGTTTTTTATTTTAAACTTGATTAAAAACATGCACAACAGTTGTAACATTTACTTATTCACCTGTATTTTTCCTTAATTTGAAGTAATTTTCTTCCCCGTCCTGGAGCAGAGTTCCTTGTTTTTTTTCCCTTTGCCTATGGGAGCAGTAGTCTGAGTCTCTAGTATTAAATGAAGTCCAAATATCTGGAAAACATATTTGATACGATTAAGAATGATGTTAGAAAATGCCTTAATTTGATGCATCTTTTAGAGCAGTTTTAAAAGATGTCAAGTATTACTCTATATGGCCTCATCTAGCCTTAATCTGTCTAGGTTTCAAAGAGTCTGTGGAACTTCTTCTGAAGATGTTTTTTTCAGGGTTTCTTCCTCCTTGGCAGTTTAATACCTTAATCAGCTGGACTAGCAATCCCCTTTGGAGTAGTAGAGTTGGTGTGTTTGTTTGCTTTGCATCATGACACCAAGAAAAGCTGTGGGTATGTTAGCATTTCCTCAACATCTCATCTAGGGTTTTATGAATTTTTCTGTGGCTGACATTCTGAAAATAAGGGATCAAGTTTCTTTTCTCCAAAGAGTTCATTTATTGAGCCAGGGTTATCAGTTTAGGGAAGAGAAGAAAATGAATTTCTCCTACTAGTCTGAAGAGGAGTTTCTCAGTCTCCCCAAACAGACAATGCATGGAAGGAAACCTATATTCTGGTGGAGAGGGTCTGATTGACGATTGAAGAACTAGAGTGTTGTCACTCGTGCATCTTATGCAAAATGTTCATTGTATCAGTGGCTGAATCTTCGATACCTTCCATTCTGCTTCAGAATACTATGTCTGGTAGGCTTTTTTCTGTAACCAAAATGGATTTTTACCTGGGTAAGAGATGCAGAATATCTCCTAAAGGAAAAAAAAAAAGGCAGTTGAAACAAAAAGGGATTCAGAACTTATCATTATCAGGAATTAAGTTTCATCCCCAAGTTATTAGACCCCTCTAAGTGAAGGGAGAATAAAGATAAATAGCAGGGAGGAAACATGATCTATTAGGGAGTGTCGCCTAAAGCAATGTAACCACAGCAGAAGTCTGGGAAACGGAATCCAGAACTCAAAAAATAAGTACTTAACTCTGATGCACCAGATATCCTCTGAAACTAGACAGATTACAAAGATCTAATGGACTTGGAAGCTGTCTCACAAGCTCACCACTTAAGATGATGCGGAATGGTTTTAGTGTATTGCCAAATCTATAAGAAGTCAATTTATTCCTTGTCAGATATCTTTTGATAAGTCCTTGAGATGATGAAAAGTTTAGTCACTTTGTGGGTGGTATTTTTTTTTAAAGTTTAATGAGTTAGTGGAAAGAAAAAGCTGTTAAGCCCCAGTTTTGAAAGGGATGGGAATTTCTATATTAGTACTAGACCTATTGAATCTTGGCTAAAAAGCAAGAATGCTGGGGGTATTTTTTTGTGTTCAGTTATGAAAGAATCTATATTATCCTAGGACTACAAAATGGGCCAAATGGGAATTTATAGTTACTGTGAACCTTTAGAACTCAAATGGATCAAATTCAGGCCACCATTTCTATATTCACAGAGGAGGTTGCAGCCAAACCTTTTCCTACTGAGCAATCTCATAACACCCATAAGACTGGAATGTTATAGGTAGTCAGGGATCAGGACTGTGCAAGTTAATTCCCCATCCATCAAATTCTGTATGTACCCTCTGCTTTACAGAGTAATTGGGTTCGTGTCATGTATAAACTCAACAAGATACTTATGGAGTGACTGGAGTACAGGTGGAAAATGATACCTTTGCTGATCATCTTTTGCTAATTCCATATCTTAAGTTATCTCCCTTTATTGTTATAGGAGTGAAAAGTAAAGTGCGTCTTAACTTGCCTTTCTCAGATTTACGTGTAAATATTTCTTTTCCTGCCTGCATGTAGTAAGAATCAGGCTTTTTTGTTTTCTCAGCGCAGAAATTGCCTTGCATCCCTCTTGCAGTTTTACAGTTGGAGTCTTATTCTATGAAGTAAGCGTTGCACTGATTTGTAGCCTGTGTATTTTGGGGTTTGCTAGTTATGTCCAGTTTGGTGAATAATACATACATTTCATAGCAAAAGAAAAGAAAGTGATATTTTTTTCTGTTTTTTATTCTGAGATTTTTATATTGATATTGGCACCATACATTGTATAGTATAGGTTTCTCAAACCAAATTGAGGCCCATTAATTACATTGGTTTTTGTTTGATTAGATTGTCCAGTCTCTCTCCCTTTTATTTTAAAATGGAAGAATAAAAACTGAAATATCTCAAACTCAAAAATGAGAACTTAAAGTCATGTTCAATTGCAGTAACCCCTCTCTGGAGTTCAGAGGAATGATTTTATGTGGGAGTGGAAAAAAGACTACAGGTTTCTCTAAAAATGAATTAAAGCAGCCAAATGATAGAAGGGGTCATTCCTCTCCTTGGACGATAATCGCAGAAAAAGCCCAGCTTTCTCTTGATTCAAGCAAGCGACTACCACATGCAGACTTTGACTTCCTTGCGTGAGAGAGTGCATTTAGGTCAGGCTTAATTTGTCAACTATTTATTGTTAGTCTGTGTCAACTATTTATTTAATTTCAATATTTTTCTGCATTTATGCAAAACCATAAGCTTTTGTATAAATTAGAATTTAAAAGCATGCTAATAAACGTATTTAATTAGCATGTTTTAACACATTAGAAATGACTTGTATGGATAAAGCAATGTATTCTTTAACACCTACTGTGCAAAGTCTTAAGATGAGTCTACATTACAGCTATGAGGTAGGGTTGCAGCTTGAGTAAGCATACCTGAATTTATCTTGGGTGGTGATGGTAATTTTGCCATGGCAGCATGAATGTGCAGGCTAAGGACTAACAGATTTACCCAGGTGACTTTGCAGCCAGCACTGACCCCTCTGCTGCTTCAGCAGCGTTAATATTAGCATCCCAGCTAACTGGTTGTTAAAAATAGCATGGGTACATCAACACGTATAATCCCCCCCTTTTGACTTGCGCACTTAAAGCAGAAAGTTGCAGCCTTTGTGGGCCTGTGGGCAGAAATGCTGAGTGATTAAGGTTCTTTGGGCAGCATCAGAGGGTCCTACAAGCAGCATGTAGAACTAGGAAACCAGTGCCTCGGAGGGAAGCATCTCAAATAGCTTATGGTGCCTTAGCTATCATGTTAGGACATGTAACTGGACTGCAGATACCTTTGAAATGTAATCTAGCCAAACAGCAGTACAGACAAAGTACACTGCTTCAAACAAGAATAGATTGAACTGTTGATGACTTGTAGAGTTGTTCAGTTGCCCTCAGCATCACTATTTTGGTTGTGTACCATGAGCCTATCCCCATTGTGGTCAAGGTCTGAGTGTTACTGTTCTTAATCAAATATGCACTTTAGAAACAAATACTGTAAAATGCACTCAAGTATGTGTGTCTTTATGCCAGGCCTTAAAAATGTACAGTATGTGTGGAATGTATTGGTATAGATTCTGTCGTGAAGTGATGGTGGTTAAGATTAAGATTTGGCTGCTTCGTTTCTTCCTGGAAAAAGTTGCTCTTGTTTTTCTTTTACTTGGTGATGGTTTTGCAAATGGCCACCATTTAGGCAACATCTAATTTTTTAACAAACATTCATTATTTTCCAAAATAAAGTAACTTGTATGTTTACAGTACTAATGCAAGACTGCCTTGTTTATTAACTTGCACATTTGCTTTAAGCAAGCTGCCACATTCAGAGTTCTCAAACAATGTGTGTCACTCGGTCTGTTTTTCTTTTTATTAATTTATTTAATATGCTCCATTTTGAAAGTATGTGTGTTTTATTTTGATACAGGACTCCTGGCATCTCCACAGTCTGCACCTGGCAACTTAGACATTGGAAAAAGTGTAGACGTTAAAGGTAATGGAACAGGAGGAAGCAGAGAGAACAGTACCGTTGATTTCAGTAAGGTAAATTACACTAAGTATATTCACAATGATAACTAAGCAGGGCCGTATAATTTTATTTATTCATTTTATTTGTCTGTTTACTTAAATAAAAACTGGTTACTTTTACTATATTTCTATTTTTGGGGTGAAAGTTAAACTACAATAATATCAGAATGCAGCATAGATTAAATCAGATTAGGCATTATATCTTTCGATTTACTTCTGTGGTATATCTAGACTCTCTCATTGATTTAAACTTTCACTTCACTCATGGTATTTCATGCAAAGCAACTGCTGCCCTTACAAATGGAATAATGTATAATACATTGAAATCTGATATATTGCAAGAATTTTTACAAAATGAATTTTGGGGGTTATGCATCAACTGGTTTAGCTTTTGTAAACTTGTTGCCCTAAATTTCTGAAATAAGATTATCCTCCACAAAAAGAGCTTTAAATGGGATTGACTTTGACCTTTACAAATTTATTATAAAGAAAACACGGAGGTTTGAAAATAAAAAGCATAAATTATGTTCCTTCCTTAGGCAAATCTTGTGGACTACTTGTAACTCCTTTGGTCTTTTGTAACTGGTATTTGTTGGGCTGTAAGATCCCTTATGGCTCTTGGTACAAAATTTAATTCTGTAGTCTATTCCATACTGTAAATGTTTGTAACAAAGCTGTTTGCCAAATTAAGTAATTATTCTCAAGTGAAGCTAATTTAGATTGCAGTTCTCCTCTGATCATGGCAGCTGCCATTTATTCCTGCTCCTCTGTCACAGTTTTAATATTTTTGCTTGGCCTGTCCTTCTGTACACCTGCCTTGTCTCCTGTTGGGCAGGAGTCAGCCTCCTGGCACTGTAGTTGTGGCACACTTGGTGTGGGACTCAAGAGGCCAGCTGTAAGTTTTCTTAGATAGCAGTTTAACTGGTGTTAGTTTTTTGTGCTTTTTGTGTATCTGTGTGTGTGGACAAAGAGTTCATGTGCTGTACAACTTTTTAATGGTCTTCTATGATTTTTTTTATGCAGAAATAAGTTTCACCTGTCTGTTTTTGCGAATGACGGTCATAAAATTATGCATTCCTTTCCAAAATTAATAGGAAAAGTGCAACTCATGATATGCAACAAGGCTAAATTCTGGAAACTTGTGTATAATTACATGAACTCTCCTTAGCTGTTTGTGTAGATTTACTTGTCAAGTCATATCCTACTTTAGAAAAAATATTTCTGTCCTGACAAGTTTTTATTTTACAAAAATGCTGATGTAGTTCCACCTTCTTAGAATATAATAGGTGGCAGAAATTCTAACTGATAATGGTAGAAAACAGACTATTACTAAAATATTGCTGACAGACATATTTTATGTACATTGTGTTTATTTTTGTTTCTTTATGTGAATGTTTTGCATTTTCTTTTTCATTGTAGTAAAAATGTTGAATAACATACGTTTAGTTCGAAAAATAGTTTGTAGATTTTTTCGCTCTCAACTGCAAGGCAATAACCAGTTGTTTTATCTTATTATATAACAGGTTGACATGAACTTCATGAGGAAAATTCCTACAGGAGCAGAAGCATCAAATGTGTTGGTGGGAGAAGTAGATTTCTTAGAAAGACCAATTATTGCTTTTGTGAGGCTGGCCCCTGCTGTACTTCTCTCAGGTCTCACAGAAGTTCCTGTTGCTACACGGTAAAGAAATCCCTGAATGCCAAGATTGTATTTGTATCATAGAATCATAGAGGTAGGGTCGGAAGGGACCTTGTAGATCTTCAAGTCCGACCCCCTGCCTGGGCAGGAGAAAAAAACTGGGCTCAAATGATTCCAGCCAGGTAGGCATCAAGCCTCTTCTTAAAGACCCCCAGGGTAGGAGCCAGCAGCACTTCCCTTGGAAGTTGGTTCCAGATCCTAGCCACCCTAACTGTAAAGTAGTGCTTGCGGACGTGTAATCTAAACCTACTCTCCAACAACTTGTGGCCGTTATTCCTTGTTATGCCAGGGGGCGCTAGGGGAAACAAGACCTCTCCCAAACCCTTCTGGTCCCCCCTAGTGAGTTTATAGACGGTCACCAGGTCCCCCCTCAGCCTTCGCTTGTGAAGGGTGAACAGGTTCAGGTCCTGCAGTCTGTCATTGTAGGGTCTGCCCTGTTGTTCCGGGATCATGCGGGTGGCCCTCCTCTGGACCCTCTCAATGTTGTCCACATCCCTCCTGAAGTGGGGTGCACAGAACTGGACATGGTACTCCAACTGTGGCCTGACCAGTGTTGCACAGAGGGGGAGGATCACCTCCTTGGCCTGCTAGAGATGCACCTGTGGATGCACAACAAGGTCCGGTTAGCCCTGCCAACTGT